ATGTATTGAGTTAACTCTCTTGAGTGATTATGAAAGACACACTCTTAAAAATCAGAACAAGTTTTAATTGTTTTAATTAATTAATTATTTAAATTAATTTATTAAAATTCCATATGTGAAGTTCAGTTAAACTTTTAAGTGGTACCTCTTGAAACACCTAAATAAGACATTTATGATTATCCAGCAAAGACCTTAGCCAAGAGAATTGTATTACTATATTATATATCTCTGATACATGAGAAAAGGGAACCCAGGGGATTAGTTAAACAGGCAGATGGGTTATAGTAATTATATGCAGGTCTACATTAAAATACAGAGACCCCAGAATTAGCAGAAATCCTGGCCGACCATTCTCTTAACCCCATTTATGCAGCATGTTAAGTCAGAAGACTGAATGAACACCTTATGCCTTTGTCTTGTTCCTTTCCATAGAGCTAATTGAATTAGCTCATTAAACAATTGTGTCTCCAGACCTTGAATTTTGTAAGGTTGTAGGTGGGGAAAACATTAGATGACTATCTTATTATACTTATATAAAATTTAAAATTTAGTAGTAGTTGAGGCATATTTATCTAATACAGTTCACTTTTCACCTTAATACTTGTATATTGAAAGTAAGAGTTCTTCCAGAACACGTTGATACAGTTGTAGGCTTCCCTGGTGGTGTTTCTTGTATTTCTGCCATCATGTCTGAAAGGCATATGGATGATTCGAGTGCAATTTAGTTAGATCTAATAGAGTGTAATGTCAGGGAGTGGGTGCTACGTATGACAGGTGACCTCAGAAGTTGTTCATTAAATATGGGTGGAAGCTCCTCTGAACTGTGGCATGGGGAAGAAGTGATAAGGACTGAAATTTTCTAAAATCCTCATTCATGGCATCAGAGGAATGAAGACACAATGATGCGGAAGTAGGGGAACCAATTGTATTATAGACAAGGGTACCAGATGGAGTCGGCAGCAAGTATCCAAGGCAATCTGGTAGTAAATTCAGGTTCATCTCTGCTCACAGTTAAGACATAAACATATACTTTTGGAAGAGAAACAAGGCAGTCATTTTCTCCAGGCAGGGAAAATCTGTATGGTTTGCAGGTGTGGAATTAAGGGGGCACTTTCATTTTGAATCAAAATGGGGATCCTGGGCAGAGGTGTATGTAGACTAGGGTTCAGAGGAGAATGACATGTAACCAGAAAATGAAGGCAGAGCCTGTCATTCAGGGTAGGTAAACAATGGGGATTATCAGAGTAAACACAAAAATGCTGTAGCTTGAAGAGGCCAAACATTTTCAACTAATTTACTTAATTCAAACCCGCTCAAAAAATATTTGTGAACATCTATCATGTTTCAAGGGTCAGTTAGACCCCGGGAAGCAAGGGAACGACTAAACCAGGAAGTCCTTACCATTTGTTGCTGACAGTGTTTGGGGGGATAGAGATCTGGAAATAGAATTCAGTAAGTGCTTGCATAAGAACACTAACAAAATTGTGTGTGTGTGTGTATATATATATAATTTCTTGCAAAACATTAACTGTATTTCCTTTCACAGTTATTGGAGAAGCATTGAGGTTTGAGGGGAAGTAGTTCAAGATAATCCCCTCTGCAGCTGCAGTTCATATTAGGTGGAGGTATAAAGTATTTGAGAAATGACAAGGACCAAATGAAGGACAGTGGCTTTGGAAATATGAAAGAATGGATGGGAAATTACCTTTCCCATCCATTCTAAAATCTTCATTTATGGCATCAGAGGAGTGCAGTGCAGACACACTTGAGTAATAATTGAGAATGCATTAACAATATGACAGAAATTCCAACTCAGGTGACTGAGAGAGCAAAGGCCCTGTTCAAACTTTGTGTACTCCCTAAGTGCATTGACAAAGAAGCAGAAGGTGGTTCATGATGTTAGTGCTGGGGCAGGTTGTGGCCTTTTTCACTTTCTCTATGTATAGGAAGTTTATTTGGTTTTATTATTCTTTTCTGGTTGAATCAGGAAATTTGAAAGTTCTCCTGTTTTCAGTACTAGATTGTTAAATGCTAAGATAAAAATCATTTCTATTTTCAACAGTTTGGGTAGTAGAATTAAATAAAAAGGATGTTCTTTCTAAAAAAATCCTAAGAGGATAAAAAGCTTTTCATATTGTGATAACTGTAGACAGTGATTGTAACCTGCATTCTAGCAGTGAGGGGGAATGTTGAGGGATCAAATGTCTTTTATGTATTGTTTTTCAAAATGAAGGAAATGTGGTTATTAAAATGACAAAAAATGACACAATGGAGTCTATTGTAAAAAAAAAAAACAAACACAACAAACAACCCAAGGATATATTGAGATAAAGCAGAATTCTCTCCCTGTGAAGGGGCAGCCACATGTGATTGCCTCCTTTTTTCCCTAACTTTTATGTGGAGGTATAGTCACATACATTTATACGAGGAAACATTGATTTTGTGATATAGAGAGTGTGGAATGTGTTTCCCAGTGTTGATGTAAAGCGTACATTAAACATGCCATGGTATTGTTCTAATTTTACAGTGCTTCAAAGAGGGAATGAGAGCCTACTGGCTGGCTACACATGAAGCTCCAATGTTCACATTGCAAAGAGACTTAATTTTTTTTTATTGTTCAAATCCAGTGTCTTCATTTTCCCACCATTGCTTTCTCCCACTGCACCCAAACCCACCTCCTGCAATTTTAGTGCTAAAACCAAGTGCATCCAGAGATTTTTATTTGTTGGTGAGGGGGAGGAACATGGAAACTCAGGAAGAAAGGATAGAAGGAATCATGACAATATCATCTTCAGATACTCATTATATATTTATAATAACCTTGAAATTACACTATGCATTACCTTGTTTATTATTTGACTCTTCATAATGTATTATCCATGAGGACAGAAATTTTTGTTTTTTATTTGGTGATATGTGCCAAGTAGAAGTTGCTTAGTAAATATTTGAATAAAGAAATGAATAAATTTTTCATTTGGCTGTGACACTTGCCAAAAAGAGTAAGCATGATTTAACTATAATCAAAGTGACTGACCCTAGTAGTTTGTGATTTAAAGTGGTTAGTGTAGCTACTGATCTCATTAATATTTTATAGGAAACATATCAATGACAGAGTATAAGTAACATTATACTTTTAATTTTATTTTCTTTTTTCTCATGGTTGCATGATTATGAGGTGATGTATCATTGAAAGCTGTGGAAGAAAACAAATGAGAAAAATAAATAATTGAACAGTGGCATTGACACTGACAGTAAGGGAGATGGGAGATGGTTGAGTGGGTAGATGCATAGTTATAGAGGAATTTCCTTCCACCAAGGAAATAAAATGGGTGACTTATATTCTAGCTCACTTTAGTCATGGTACTTACAAAGTAGCAATTGCTTGATTATGCTTTGGAATTCATTTTTTTATATAAGTATATATTTATTTATTTTGTGAAATGCTTCAAACATACAGAATGGTAAAGATTAAAATATAACATATACATTGGTGTTCAACACCTATATTGAGAACAAATGTAATGAACACTCAAGTATCTCTCACCCATGTTTATCAAATATTTTAATTATACTTTTTGATTTAGATTTTTAAATAGAAATAAATATAACTTGTCAGTTGGAGTTGAAAATCTCTTTTAACCTTCTCCAAACAAAAGTTTGCTTTTTATGAGATTGTAAAATAAGCCTTGTTATACTGGTGTATGAGTTTAAATAATTTCAATCAGTGTGTTTTCTTTTGATTTTAAAGACATTTTAATGATTAAGGGGAAGATTCAGTATAGGTCTTTTTTTTTATTAAAAAAAGCTTAACAATGTAAACTCTAAAATGACCAATGTTTAAAAGTTTAGGAATGATTAGTTCAATTTCTTTCAAAGGTAAATTGCTTGCAAATGAAGAGTATGTTGTTTGCCATCCTAATAACATTTCACGATTTTGTACTGTGGAAGCTTTTCTGGTACCTGTGCTTCATGCATTTACTTTTTCACCATCTGGAATTATGTACAAAGAAACACAGTACTAAACTGGTAACATCGATTACCTTGGGTGGAGAAGATTGTATCATGTAGAATTTGCCATTCTAAATTACTTTGGTACTACCTAAAACTGTGTAAAACAAGCATATATTATTTTGAATTTTGAAAGGTAAGTGTTAAACATAGGTACTTTTAAATTATCTCCTGAAATATAGTATTCATTTCAGCAACATTTTTTTTCACATTGAATGTGATATGAAAAGAGCAGATGCACTTATTACCTGGAAATGTATATATATATGTTTGTGTGTGTGTGATATGTATGTCACTTACATATGTATCTCATCATTCAAATAAATATATTGCTCTTTCCAATATATTCATAAAACTTTTAAAGAAATAATATTTTCTCTGTTAATTAGATCATGTTATTTATGCTAATTTGAGGGGATGCCATTATTATTATTGTTTTTAAACAGGATGTTCTCTGTTTAACTCAGCATGGTTAACATTTTTTTTTGTTTTTCACACATTTGATTATGTCTCCTTGGAGGGGGAAGTAATGCTCCACTAATTTAAGAAATTAGCAATGTGTTAATAATTTGACAACCTACTCTGGGTTATATAATGAAAAACTGTTATGAGCCATCCATAGAGAAAGTATCTAATATAACTGATTCATGGAATCTAATATATGTTATAGTTTTTTTTATGATATGTGGTTTTTTTGTTTCTTGGAGTAATCAAATTTTGAGTAAATCAAAGGCAAATAATACCAAAATTAATTTTAAAAGAAAAATACAGCTCTGTTTTGAATTTTTTCTTTTTCTTAAACTATAGAGTAGTTAGGTCTCTGAGGTTCATTAATTATATTTTAATTATCATTTGAATAAAATTTAATTTAAAGAATTTGATCTATATTTTATGTTTTTCATGAGAGACATTGTTTCACATGGTGCCATGCATTTTGAAAACATTTTCACATTGTTTTTATCTCAGTGACCATGGTTTTACTTTATTTCTAGGTGAAAGAGTGGCTCTGTTTAAACTGTCAGATGCAAAGAGCTCTAGGAGGTGACCTGACTCCAATTCCATCATCACCCCAGCCCAAACCGAAGATAGCCCCAGTTACCCCTGCATCCTTGGTGAGCAAACCATCTCCACAGTCACAGCAGATTTCTCCAAAGAAGGATACTGCACCAAAGCAGGATATCTCAAAGGCACCTGAGTCTAAAAAGCCCCCACCACTAGTAAAGCAACCAACCCTTCATGGTTCTCCCCCAACCCTGGCCAAGCAGCCTCCTGTGGCAGAGCCCTCATCTAAGCCAGCCCCTCCCAAAGAGGCCTCTGTCCCATCTGAGCAGGTCAAGGTCTCCATGGCTGACGATGAAATAAAACAGCCCAAGACAGCAAAGTCAGCCACAGACATTGTGTCTTCTTCGTCAACAGCAACAAGACCTGATATTCCAAGCTCCAAAGTACAATCGCAGGATCAAGAGAAAACCCCTGCTCCTCTAAAACCAGACTCTGCCAAACCTTCACAGAGTTTTCCACCAACAGGAGAAAAAGTTACCCCATTTGATTCTAAAGTCATACCTCGACCTGCATCAGATTCAAAAATTATTTCACATCCTGGACCTAGTATGGAGAGCAAAGGTCAGAAACAAGTTGATCCAGTTCAAAAGAAGGAAGAACCCAAGAAAGCACAAACCAAAATTGGTCCTAAGCCAGATGCCAAGCCCATGCCAAAAGGGTCACCGACACCTCCGGGCCCCCGACCTACCATTAGCCAAACTGCCCCCCCATCTCAACAGCCACCAAAGCCTCAGGAGCAGTCAAGACGTTTTAGTCTGAATCTAGGAGGTATTACTGATGCTCCTAAATCACAGCCCACCACTCCTCAGGAAACTGTGACTGGGAAACTCTTTGGGTTTGGAGCATCAATCTTTAGCCAGGCATCAACTCTAATCTCTACAGCAGGCCAGCCTGGATCTCATTCACAAAGTGGGCCAGGAGGCCCAGCAAAACAAGTCTCTTCTCCTTCCCAACCACCTCCTTCTCAGGGGCCACCCAAATCTACCAGTCAGGCACCTCCAGCACCTGCAAAAGCTGTACCTGTGAAAAAAGAAACAAAAGCTCCAGGAGCTGAAAAGTTAGAGCCCAAAGCTGAACAAGTTCTGTCAGGAAAAAGAACAGAAACAGAAAAGAAGCCCCTGCCAGTTAAGGATAGCAAACCTTCGACAGCTGAGCCTCAAAAGGCTGCCCTGCCCCCGAAACTAGAGAAAACCCCCAAACCAGAATCAGCCTGTCCTCTCTGCAAAACCGAACTTAACATAGGTTCTAAGGATCCTCCCAACTTCAACACTTGCACTGAATGCAAGAATCAAGTGTGTAACCTCTGTGGATTTAACCCTACTCCGCACCTGACTGAGGTAAGCATATTTGTATTACATGTGGATGTGAGTTTATTGTATATATTATTAAATATTTTTTAGCCAAATTTCTGAGCAGAAAATACATTTCCAGTAAAGAAAGCAAATTGATATTAGTATGTTCAAAGAAGTTTCAATTACTTTTTATAGGTTTATTTACCTACTAAAAGTTCATGTAATTTATACTTTTCCAGGATTAATGCACCAGAAGTAAGAAGTTGAAATAAGCTGACACCTTAAGATAACAATGATCTCAATTCTTTATGAATTAATTATCTATAGCTTTGGAGGACTATCTGGTTTTCACTGATACACATCAAATAAGAGAAGTAATTTACTGTTTCCCATCTGTCTAATCCTTTCAATTTCTTTAATACGTAAGAAAGGTGTTTGATTGGCTGCAGGCCCATAAAAAACATGAGATCTGTTCTTTCACAACAATTGTTCAGAACTTTGTAAAGGTAGTAATATTTTCTCCCAGAAAATATCATTTCAGGTATATTATGTCTAGACTTTTTATAGTTCTGTTTGAGCTATTATCTGGTGTAAATATAGTAGTGTACTTTATTAAGAACTGTTGTAAGGATAAATAGATAATGGATTAGCTAACTAATGTCAAGGAACTTTTTTTTTAATGGAACAAGAATAATTGTTCCACAAAGTAAATGACCAAAAAACAGATAGCCACTCTCTACCTAATACAGTTATAAAAGAATGAATCCGCAAGCCTCAGTAGTGTGTTAGACCTGCTAGAATTTTGAATCTGGGGAGAATGATGGGTTAAGTGATATCTGCTGACTTAGATAAGTAACAACGTTTTAGTAAACATTTTGGGATTAAATTTTAAGTAATTGTTCATTGTTCTTACACAAATCAAAAATACATAAGTATTATTTCACTCTCCTTGACTTTTTAATCCATTAGAATGAAAAATTGAACAGGTTTTTAGTAACTATACAAAAGAAACTTAGGGATTCTTGCTGTCATTTTCAAGTTATTAAGAATAAACCATATACTATTTTTATTTTTCACCTTTGAAAGATACTAAGTTATTTTGATATTACTAACACAGTATGAAAATATTATCTGTACAAACTTAAGCAGGCTTTTATTCTTTTTAACTGTGATGACTAATGTTAACTAAGATTCATTTTAAAAGTAAGTAAAATTTGGTTTCTTTCAGTATGTTTCAAGTGGTAACAACTATAGTTATTACTTACAGTAATATTTTTAGAGGAGTTGCTTTTGGTTGTGTACTAATGAAGAGGGAAATTTGGTTTTCCCAGTAAGCAGTTTCTCCAATAATGTTTCCTTCAATGTTCTTTTGTTATAATGTTGATGAGAGAAAAAATAGTGGATTCTTAGCCAGAGCCATTGTCTATGTGGAGTTGCACATTCTTCTCATGTCTGCTGGGGTTTTCTCTGGAGCCTTCAGTTTTCTCTTAGACTGCAAAGATGCGCACATTAGGAGAACTGGTGTGTCAGCATTGCCTCAGTGTGAGTGAGTGTGGGTGTGTGTGCACCCTTGGATGGAAGCGTGTCTTGTCCAGAGTGGGTCCTACCTTGCCTTCTGAGCTGGGATGGGCTCGAGCCATTAAAACCCTGAACTGAATAAACTGGTTGGAAAATCCTGGTCTTAACTTTTTATTAATTTTTCTTAAATGTATGTATAACTCACATTTATTTCAGTGTTCAATATTAGAAGTGTTGTGGGTCTTTATTTAGAAGTCTGGTGATGTTTTTGTCACCAGAAATATGCTGTAGGAACTTAACTCGTGTTTATAAATTAGCCTAGGGTAAAATGTATTTTGTTATATGTTGTTTGCTTAAAGTTGCAGTTTCTAAGAACCTAGGGACATTGTTAAGTGAGGAATTACTGTACAACTGTATTAATTTCATAAATTTAGAAAATTGTACCATTTAATGAGTAGCCATATGGTATCAACACCATGAAGTTAATTTAAATAGTTGCAAAACATACTATACCACCAAAAACAAAACAATAATGTCTGCATTTAAAGTGTATTTTGGGTACACTAAAAACATATGTCTGTATTGCAGAGCGATAACTATAACGTGTGTGTGTGTGTGTATTTATATGCATACATTTGGACCAACTTTGTCAGTGTTTAGAGGTGTGAAATGAGAGCCCTGAGTAGAAACACGATAAACCTTGCACAAAAATCATTAATTTTGTGTGTGTGTTTGTCAATTATATTTTAGGGGTGGTAATTTAGAAAGATTTCTTGAATAAAGTAGAGAATTATCTAGGGCATGTATGGAATTTTAATAGTTTGAAAATGTAAATGGTTTCAAGTTTTGAAGTGGTTTAGGTGAAGTATAATTCTAAATATGATCAGTGAAATTTAGACACTGCCATTGTTCAGATTTTTGTGGTAATTTCTTTGAATTTGGAAGATCCTGTTTCAGAGGAGAAAAAATTTTGATGTAACAAAAGCAGTGGATTAGTGTTCCTGGCTAAATTTGAGTATGCTAATCTGCAAGAAGTTTTCAGTTAGTATAAGGTCTTAATGTCCTCTGGTCTCTAGCTATAGTTCTTTGGCTGACCAGGTGTCAAGGGAGTGAGTAGTAAAGATGAGCTGAGTTAATCCATGTTAAAATAGTTTTTATTATTATTACCTAAACGACATTAGAGGACTGGATGAAGGGGTTAGTTGAAGAGAATGGCACATTTTATTTGCATATGTGTGTGCATACATATACATATATATCCAAGAAATTGTAAATGTGGTATATAGGCTTAACTTGTGGTATTGCAGTATTCATACTACTAATCTCTCTTTATTTTGAGTGATTAGGAAAGTATATCTCCTCCTTGATCCTTGTCTGGTTTTACAGTTTCTTCATTCTGTATGTGGTATTTTTCTTGTGATCCAGTATTTTCACTGTAGTTTTGGAAAGCACATTCTAGTTTCAAATTGTATGCCTGCAATATATAGATATGGTGTTCCTTAAGAAAGGATTAAACTATTTCCATGTATTTTTTCTAATAAAACACATGTAACTCTACTATAAGCCTCTGCTTCTACTGTGCTAATCACTGTGAGGCATGACTTCTTTTTGTGTTGGTGCCACTCTGCCCTCCCCTTGTAGCCATTCTGCTCCTCGGGAGGCCAGAGAGCTGGTCCTAGTTTGTCACCGGTTAAGGAGCTATCCATAGTATTTCTCCTTCCTCCACCCGTTAATCAAACACACCTGTCTCTGGGGTTGTTTCCTGTATTTCACACTCAGCATCCCCCACAACGCCTGTGGAGAGCCAAGGATGCCTGCAGGGCCCTGGAGTGTAGCCAGGCTGCAGCTTAAGCCTTATGGTTTACCTGTTTGTTGCCCAGTTTGTATAAATGACACTATGATTCATTAACCTCTACTAGGAAGGAATGGTTATTTTAGATTTTAATTTCTGCCAATTCAGGGAATATCTTACCTTGGAAGGAGTTTTAAAAGCAGCCGTAAGGCTTTCTGAAAAAGGTAGATTATAGAATTTGGAAGTATGGTAAGAAAGACAGCCTAAATTGGCAAGCAATTTACCTAGTGAATTTTTATCATTCTGGTTCAGTCAAAATGCAAAAATGAGTCAAAGTGGGTATTTATTTTATTTGGTTACTATTCTGTTTAAAAGTAACTTTTTACTACACAAATAAGACTTAAATTATGTCTCCTCAGGTTTCAGGGTTCCTAGAATCATATCTTTGCTTTTTTAGTAAGATAATTAGGCATGGCCTAAATGATGGAGGAATAGCCAGCACATATTTGACACTTTGCTTCTACTAAAACTTGTCACTAGGCAACAAATGGGCCTTTTGAGCCAATTAAGACACAGTGTAGAGTGAAGATCCCTTCAGATCACTACTCTCCAGTCATGGAGGCTTCTGCGTTCCCTGTCAGGTAGAGGGCCTAGCAGGGACACTCTGCATTTCTTAGTTTGGCCAACACATGATATGTGCCTTTATTTTAAAGATTATTATTTAAGACTTTGAAATCATACATCTGTTACTAAAAAAGCATTTAAACAGATAAAATAAATATATGAAAAACGAGAGACTGAAAGAATGATCAAAATCAATATGGAGAAAAGAATTCTGATTAGTTTCAAAAGATTTGCGTGTAATGGAGATCTGCATTTTGAGTAAAAATCTCTGTCATGTCATGCCATGGCAAAAGGGACACTTGATGGCACTTTTTCACCAGCATAAAAATTGGTAGATTTGTCTGTGGAAACAAAATTTTTAGGAGAAATTTGCTGTTACATTTTTCTTAAGTGATATTTAGTTGAAAAATGCAAACATGGATTTAAGATAGAAACAATTTTTTAAACAAATTTAAACAAAACAGTAATTTTATTAGTTTTTAATGCATTTTACATAGTTAATATTCTACTCTACATGATAGTTATGTATTCTAATATTAACATATTAGATATCACTAGGTGATTCTTATATATTATATAAAATGACTAAGTATAATTCAGTATTATGGATTTGTGTTTTTTCATACACATTGTCCACATATCAAGGATTTAGGTCATTTCATTTTTTTTATTTTAAATAAGATGAACATATTTGGATACAAATAGTTGTATTTTTAACTGCTTCCCAAGAAAAGCTGTTTAGTACTAGTGTTACCAAATTAGGGGATAAGGACCCTGAAGCATCACATTCTTTCTGGAGATGTGATAGCAGTTGACATTGTTACTACTAGCAGATGTGATTGCTTTGATACTGTAGCCTCTCCAAACTTGAATAATATCATTTAAAATGGTATTGTTAGTTTGGAACTCTAGCAGTGTTATAGTATTGTTTCTATGATTTGTATTTCTTTGATTATCAGAAATTTTATTTAGATACAAAAAGTAAACAGACAATTCTCATTATAATCCAAATAAAATATTGTGTAGGCATTGTGGGATAAGGTAAACTGATATCAATAATATGGCTATTTTTAAAAAACTTTATTGGGGCTGCTATTTGACTAAGCATATG